ATTTAGAAAAGCTGGACGAGCACACGTCCATGGGATCGGATGTGCTGCATCCGAGAGTGCTAAAGGAGTTGGCGGATGTGATTGCAGAGCCATTAGCCATTATCTCTGAAAACTCATGGCGATCGGGGGAGGTCCCAGACAACTGGAAAAAGGCTAATGTAGTGCTCATCTTTAGAAAAGGAGGATCGGGGGAACTACAGGCCAGTAAGCCTCACCTCAGTCCCTGGAAAAATCATGGAGCAGGTCCTCAAGGAATCAATACTGAAGCACTTAGAGGAGAGGAAAGTGACCAAGAACAGTCAGCATGGATTCACCAAGGGCAAGTCACACCTGACTAATCTAACTGCCTTCTATGATGAGATAACTGGCTCTGTGAATGAAGGGAAAGCAGTGGACCTGTTATTCCTTGACTTTAGCAAAGCTTTTAATATGGTGTCCCACAGTATTCTTGCCAGCAAGTATGGGCTGGATGAATGGAATATAAGGTGGACAGAAAGCTGGCTAGATCGTCTGGCTCAACGGGCAGTGATCAATGGCCCCATGTCTAGTTGGCAGCTTGTATCAAGCGGAGTGCCCCAAGGGTCGGTCCTGGGGCCAGTTTTGTTCAATATCTTCATTAATGATCTGGAGGATGGCGTGGACTGCATCCTCAGCAAATTTGCAGATGACACTAAACTGGGAGGAGTGGTAGATACGCTGGAGGGTAGCAATAGGATACAGAGGGCGCTCGACAAATTAGAGGATTGGGCCAAAAGAAATCTGATGAGGTTCAACAAGGACAAGTGTAGAGTCCTACACTTAGGACGGAAGAATCCAATGCACCGCTACAGACTAGGGACCGAATGGCTCAGCAGCAGTTCTGCAGAAAAGGACCTAGGGGTTACAGTGGATGAGAAGCTGGATATGAGTCAACAGTGTGCCCTTGTTGCCAAGGCCAATGGCATTTTGGGATGTATAAGTAGGGGCATTGCCAGCAGATTGAGAGACGTGATCGTTCCCCTCTATTTGACATTGGTGAACCCTCATCTGGAGTACTGTGTCCAGTTTTGGGCCCCACGCTACGAGAAAGATGTGGAAAAATTGGAAAGCGTCCAGCGGAGGGCAACACAAATGATAAGGGGACTGGAACACATGACTTACGAGGCTGAGGGAACTGGGATTGTTTAGTCTGCAGAAGAGAAGAATGAGGGGGGATTTGATAGCTGCTTTCAACTACCTGAAAGGGGGTTCCAAAGAGGACGGAGCTAGATACCGTTCTCAGTGGTAGCAGATGATAGAAAAAGGAGTAATGGTCTCAAGTTGCAGTGGGGGAGGTTTAGGTAGGATATTAGGAAAAAATTTTTCACTAGGAAGGTTACCTAGGGAGGTGGTGGAATCTCCTTCCTTTGAGATTTTTAAGGTCAGATTTGACAAAGCCCTGATGGGATGATTTAGTTGGGGATTGGTCCTGCTTTGAGCAGGGGGTTGGACTAGATGACCTCCTGAGGTCCCTTCCAACCCTGATATTCGAAGAGTCTATGTGATATGTGCCAGCAATGCCCCTTTGCCATTTACATTGGCCAAACTGGACAGTCTCTACACAAAAGAATAAATGGACACAAATCAGACATCAAGAATTACAATATTCAAAAACCAATCGGAGAACATTTCAATGTCTCTGGAGAAACTGCAGAACTGGAATTAATTTGCAAACTGGACACCATCAAATTAGGCCTGAATAAAGACTGGGAGTGGATGGATCACTACAAAAACTAAAAACTAATTTCCCCATGCTAATTTCCCCCTACTGTTACTCACACCTTCTTGTCAACTGTTTGAAATGGGTCACCCTGATTACCGCTACAAAAGGGATTTTTCCTCCTGTTGATAATAGCCCACTTCCAGTTTAACTGAATTGTCTCGTTCGAACTGACCCCCCACTTGGTAAGGCAACGTGTGTGTGTGCGCGCGCCTACTGTATTTTCCACTCCATGCATCTGATGAAGTGGGTTTTAGCCCACGAAAGCTTATGCCCCAAAAAATTTGTTAGTCTAAGGTGCCACGAGTACTCCTCATTGTTTTTGCTGATACAAACTAATAGGGCTACCACTCTGAAACCAGTGGACTCGCTGAGTTTTTATAAGCCCTGGATCACATTAACATATGGCTTGGAGTTTGCAGACAGATCAAAGAGCTTGCAAATAAGGTCTTTATCCTACAAAACACCTAGCAGCATCCAGACCAAACCTAGTGCTGCTTGCCACTTAAGAGTCAATGGGAGTACTCTGAAGAGCCAAAACGATATCAGATAAAGATCTGGCCTTAGTGGTTCCCATACCTCTCCCCAAACATAATGGAAATCACTTGTCAGTACAAGTGATTTCCATTAAGTTTTAGCAGTAGTTTGGGGAGAGCAGTCTCTCCCACTCAGCAGCAGCTACTGAACTGGGCTGGGAAGGAGAGGGGAGTGTTTCTCCCCCACCATGGCAGCCACCGAGCTGGGGCTGGGAAGGAGGGCCGTCTCTCCCTGGCAGCCACAGTTCCGGTGCTGGGGAAAGTTGCCTCTTTCTCTGGCCACTGCAGCCCTGCAGGTCCCAAATTTCCCCCACCTCCTCTTCTCACCCCACTGCCCCCCCAACTATCTCCTATTTCCCCCACCTCACCCTACTGCTCCCTTCCACCAATTCCCTCCAATAGGAATACCCCCTATTCCCTCTAAGGCCACCACCTCACCTTACATGTGCGTCTTCTCCAGAATCCAGGCACTTACGCCTGCACAGCTCCACTAATTAGGTGGGCGGCCGCCCAGGCGCGCACCTTAGATGGAACTATCCGCAGACCACCTGAACAGAGCCTGTGTCCACAGACCGCAGTTTGAGAACCTCTGCTCTAGACAGCAGCGCACATCTTCATGACAACAGTCCTAATTGTCCAACTACCAACTCTGATGAGTTAGCAAATGACCAGTAGCAATCAGGGGGCAAGCTCTCACATGGCTATGGCCACATGCTTCTCAATATTGAGGGCAACTTTCATATGGGTGTTCCACTGCACCAGCTTGAGCCCTGCACAGACTTCTAGGAAAGTGGATTTTCGCATCCTGAAGTTCTGCAGCCACTGTTTATCATCCCAGATTAACAACACTATTTTATTCCACCAGTCAGCAGAGCCCAAAAGCACTGTTCCACAAAAAAATGTAGGTGAAGTCTCTGCTTAATTTCAAACTTCCTTTTTGCAGGTGGCCTTAGTGCCCTGGTTTTGAAATCATAGCATGAATACAGACGTGCTGTTTATATTCATCACTATGAGGACTGAGAGATCGCAAGCATTTCTCCTCTACGCAGCCTGACAGTGGTTTGAACATGGTGCACCTAGCCAAGCAGTCTCCCCTCATTAGTTTGTGATTACACTTAAACCCCTCACCCCCACAGCCACCTTGATGTGAAAGAGACATACAAAACAGGTGAAAGAGGCTCCATTGTTAAATTTATTGTACACAAAGTTATCAAATGTACATAATAAAACTGCGGGGGGGGATTCTGTTATCACTTTAATCTATAATTTTTGGCATTACTACTACTAACAACTAGCTCTTATACAGCATTTTTCATCCATAGATCTCAAAGCACTTTACCAATAGTAGGTAAAATAGTAGATAAAAGACTTCAGAACACAATTGTGATTTAAGCTGTCAGTGTTGTGGGATTGTATGCAACTTCTTTTACAGGATATGCAAATGCACCTACTTGGGGTATGCAGGAACTCAGCCTTTTGAAGCGTCACCCTGAGAAGGAAATGCATTACCTATTCACAGTCTCGTCAAAGACCAAAACTGGATAAAGGAGGGACTCACCTCTTCATGACTTTACGTGCTTGTTCTGAGCTGAAGCTGTGACGAACTTGTGACCACAGGGAAAATTCTTCTGTGGGGTTCAAAGGACTAATCACCAACCAGAGCCCTTGCTGGAGTGAGGGAGTGATCTCTGGCAAGCTTACTAGCATAACTGTTGGTTCTTTTATTATTTTTAATATGTTTTTCCTGTAATGCGTATACCTTAAGAGTAACTACTTGATTAGAAAGAGCTGAGGGTAACTTAACCATGACAACAACACTGTTTGCTACCTTTGAAGAGAAAAGCAAAGCAGGGGAAGGCAGGAAAACTAAAAGGAAGGATTTAGTGGCTTGTTTAATTTTTGAACTTTAACTCCAGTCCAAGAAAACCACGATGTGCACTTATTGCACCAGTTATAAATCCTTGCATTATAACAAAATACCAGTGGAGACCAGAAAAATGGAATCTTTGCTAACAGAAGGCGGTGAAGACTGAATATGAAGAAAACAACCTTAAAAGTTAAAAAAAACCAAACATGTATTTCCTTTGATGTGGAAGTTTTTATGGGTGGTGACTGTGAAATGAGGCTTTTTAGAAGACTTACACCAGTTCTAGGATTTGTTTTAGATCGTCATGTTACCTTTGCCTTTTTGTTATTACACATCAGCCCGACCGTCCAGCACTTATTGCTTGGAAGGGGTGCTATCACTCGTGCACACAGACCCGCTGCGTAGCATCTACTGCCTGGTCCCTATGGGACAAGCCTGCAGAGTTACTTACTACAGCGATCATCAACCCTTCTCCGGGACGCAGAGCTACAGACTCCTCCAGCGGTCTCCACAGCCCCCTCCCAATAGCCGCAGCAGGGCGCCGCCGCCAGGCGAAGGGAGACGCTACATTGTAACAAGGCAAAGCAACTCTCAGGTGTCCAGGCCCCGACCCAACCTGGAGAAGGGGAGTGGAAGGAAGGCAGGGCCTGCGGGCGCCTCACAGCGCGGGGGTGTTGGGCAGGCCTGGAGATGCGGACCTGAGGGCGCCTCTGCCCTGTTTTCCGGGGCACAAAGGCAGACTCCCAAGGCTGCTTTCGCCCCCAGCGACTAGAAGACGGCCCAGCCCCAAGCTAGAAGGAGAAGGAATCCTCCGCCCCGGGAGTCGCCCGAAGTCCCCGGGGGCCGGCCTCGCCCTCACCTTGAAGGGGTTGTTGAGGTCCGGGTCCGCGAAGGGGTTACTGTCAAAGTCCGACATGGCGAGGGCGGGCGCTATGATCACCGGACGGCGGCGGCTTCACTCCAGCGCCCCACAAGCTACCCCTAAACCGATGTCACAAGCAGATCCGGTCTTGATCCCGCCCCCTGCCCGAGCAGCCAGTCAGCGACCGAGATCCAAAATGGCCGCTCCGGAAGTGAGGTGTTAGGCGCGGCAATACCATCTTTACGCCTGGGAAAGGAACCCTACCCGTTCGGGGGACGGAGAGGAACGGTATCGTCTCATGGAACCCAAGCCAGGATAATCCTGTCCCCTCTCAAAATGCCCGTCTTGAAACCTCGCCGCTACCCCTTTGGAAGGGGTCTCCGACCCTGCTGCCTGAACCACGAGGGGCTGGCTTCCGCTTCTCCTCCGCCTTGGATGGGGGGGGGGGTTGGCCTGTCCCATTGCCAAAAACGGGGGGGGAGGGGAGAGAAGAATAAGGAAAGTTATGAGGCAGTCCCACTAATTGCCTGGTTTAAGAGTCATGGGATTTTTCTCTCACTCTCCTTTGGCAAAAAGAAAAGGAGTACTTGTGGCACCTTAGAGACTAACCAATTTATTTGAGCATGAGCATCCGATGAAGTGAGCTGTAGCTCACGAAAGCTCATGCTCAAATAAATTGGTTAGTCTCTAAGGTGCCACAAGTACTCCTTTTCTTTTTGCAAATACAGACTAACACGGCTGTTACTCTGAAAACTCTCCTTTTGGGCTGTAAAGTCCACTTAGGTCACGTTTTCAGGCTTTTCTCTGGAAGTCAGAGCTAGAACTTTGTTACTGAAGGAGAAAGCTGAGCTGCTGTGTTAAGTACATCCTGGGCTGTTTCAGGAGTGGGAGCTTTCAGAAAAACACCAAATAGCACACAACTGGCCCTGAAATCACAAAAGTTGGCAACACTGTATAAGGGTCTTCGGCCAAACATTTTCCACCCTGCAAATACAGGAAGGGGAAGAGAAGGAGCCTCTGCCCATCTCCAAGAGATTCTCACTTTTAACCCCCTCCCCCAAAAGTAACTAAGTAATTAATTACCGAGTCTTGAGGAATTAAAAGATTAATCTTTAATTAAAGACAATGTCATGATGAAACCTGGAATTCATCCAACCAAAGTTGGGAACCCTACAATAGGGTAAGAGTAGCAGATCTGGTCCAAAGAGTAAAATAAGCTGTTAGTTATCTGAACAGGAGTTCTTCAAAATAGGTTGTCCTTATGCACACACTCATGTGCCCCAAACTTTTCAGACAGCAGTAGCCACGTGGCCTGCCTGCACCCTGATACTCCTCGTCAGAAAGGACATATAGGTAGGGCACACTACTGCCATCAGTTTCCTCTGAATTGTGGAGTCCAAGGTTGAGGGTTGGTAAGACAGATGGTAGAATATGCATATTGACAACACCTCTCAAAGAATTCCAGTTACCATATATGTAAATAACATCTGTTCAAGTCTTAGGCTATCTTCTAGATTCCCACATCCCACTGACATGCTTAGGGTAGGCTCAGATGAATACCTCTCCTAAAGGGGGATTATATTGGATCATATTAAAGAAGTTCTGTATTAAAATCACAAATGAGTTTGATTCCCCATAGTTTAAATTCCAGGGTATTACTAACTAAGAGGTCTCTTGGTTTTTGGTACTGTTTCTCTCCCTCTTTGTGTGAAATTTGCAAGCTGCTAATTGTGTTAGTACATTCTAAGACAGAGTCTGTTCTCAAAGCAATTCACAGAGAGAGAGACTCAAAGCAATACTCTAACAACAGAAACAGCACCCAGAAACTCCCCGCCCTTTTGTTGTATTAACAATTGTGATTAAAATAGAGATGGAGGATGTATGTGGATGGATGCTTGGTGTGGATAATAACTGAATGATCAGGGAGGTGCCAGCCTAAGAATCCAGTGTCCATCGGCTAAAGAAGGCGTTAAGTGTAAATAACCAGAGGACCCCTCCCCGGAGGGCAGACTGGAATCCACTCAACAGCCTCAAGAATGGGACAAGATAACATCTAGCAGCAGGGAGCCCTCAGGAATGTGCTATCTGCTGATTGATTCAGCAACAGCATGATGAAGCAATTCCCATAGACTGGCATAGGAAGAAATTCCTATAAAAATAGACTCTAAAAAGTGAGAACTTTGGGGTCTGATTCTGCAAACCAACTTCCAGGAGCATCAGATGAGCATCTGACAAGGCCCTGCTCCCTCCTCATGTCCACGCCACCTGGCCAGTGGCTTGGCACGAGCAACTCTAAGGCTGGTAGCTATGATAACAACTTTGCAGAACCTGTGTGTGTGTGTTTGTATGAATGAATGTGTGAATAAATATGAGATTGAATGGAATGTTATAGCTATAACTAACTGCTTACTGATTCTTTCTGTATTCACAATAAATGTGGTATTTTGCCTTTTTTCCTTTAATAAGATCCTGCTGGTTTTTATTTTATTGGTATAACACCTCTCCCCCTTTTTCCTGAGTTCTACTTTTATGCTATCCACTCCAGGGGCTTTTCAACGTCTGCAACCCTTCATCAACTTCTTCGACCATGCAAGGAGATTCATCAGGATAAGTCGAGCTTCTCGCATAGATGTCCTTTGCCTCTTTCACTTCCAGCTCTCAATTTGTTTTGTTCATTTTATACAGGCCCTGATGGTTCCTATTTATAAAAAGGGGAACCTTGCCGTTTGTGGAAGTTACCTTACATTTTCACTGTCACCTCCTAGCAAAATACTACTGTGAATCATCCTGAAGAGAATTGAGCCCAAGGTAGAACCTCTTTCTGGCTGATAAATAAGCTGGGTTTAAACCCAAAAGAGTTACAGTAAGTGGAGCAAATATTCAGTCTGCATATGCAATATCAGAAAGTGGTGGAGAATGATAGGAAGGTGGTCCATCTCTTCAAGGATTGTGCTAAGGTGTTTGACAGCATATAGCACGCACTACTTTAGGCAATCCTGTGGCTGATTGAAGTTGGTGAAAATGTAATAAGGCAGATATAAAATCTCTACAGAGTCAATGACTGACGGCTTCAGTGTTTGTGAGACGTGAACAGAGTAATTAATTTGACTTAAGGCTAGATAGCATGCTGCGCAGCAAGCTATCACTCACTTCAATTGTTATCTTGAATGAAGTTTAAGAAAAGCTACTAATAAAAACCTACAGCAGGGTATAACTAGCAATGGATGAAAAATTAGTGACCTGTGCTTCGCTGATGATATTGACTTACAATGATCTAATTAAGAGGAGATGCAAAAATTGCTAGAAAGAGGAGTGGTTGAAGGAGAGAAGTTAGGTCTAAAGATCGCCTGAAAAGACAATTGTGGCAGATGAGGCTGGCAATATGGCAAGGATAATCATACCCAAATCTGGAGGCGGTACGATGAGCTCTCCAAATATTTGGGTAGTATGACTACAAAGGACAGTGAACATTACTTAGGGATCTGTGACACTGTACCTCAAAGCAGCACCCTGGAACCCCCATCTTTACCACTGTCATAGCATTCAAACCTCTATATTGAGGATCTATGATCTGTTTGTACCATCTGTCAGGGTGGGACATTACTTGATTCAAATCCTGTTTACTTTGTAGAACTCAGACTGCAAATTTATTTTTATTTCTTAAGTAACCAACTGTGATCTCTACACTTGCTGTTTATAATCACTTAAGAAAAAAAATCTGTTTTATATTTTACCTAAACCAGCATGTTTTCATTCTCAGCTCAGTTTACAAAGGCTAGCTTGTGTCCTCTCCCCTTCAAGGGAGGGGCAGACTGGGTAATGAACTTGCACTGACCAGGCTTCTGACCAGTGCAAAATGATACAGGCTGGGGAGGAATTGGGCTGGAGCTTCTCTACTGATGGTTCATGAGTGACTGGGAGATCATTCATGTAACACAGTTGGATGTGTCCCTGCCTGTGGATGGTTCTATAAGTGCAGTACCTGCCAGATGTTTGTGGCTTAACACATCACAATGTGAGAGATGGCCCCAGGTGGTGAGATAGAGGGCTCAGCAGTCCCTCAGTTCGGGTTGCATGTTGGTGACTGAGTCACAAGACTCAACGAGGAACTGGACTTACAGTTGCTGCTCTACTACCTCACAGAGCAGCAAAAGATATTCCTATGAAGTGTAAGATGAAATTGCTGTGATATCATCTGCGTCTTGCTATATGCACGTAAGATATGGATGCTCATGAAATAGGACATGAAGAGGCTTTGAAGTAAAGTGTGATTGGTATGCATTAGCTATACCTTACACACAACTAGCAAAGAGGTAATCACCCCAATTTACAGCATAACCAGAGTCATTCCTGTTATCACAATAATCCGCTGTCCTATAAACTTAAGTTTCTTCATGAGAGTTGGATAAGCAGAGTAAACTTGCAAATGCAAGTTTTGCCAGGACTGATACTGAGATAGAGGGACCTGCAGCAAACATTCAGTGATGTGGCTGACCGGACAGGATGTAGTCTAGTGTACTCCTCAAGGCTCTGTGAAGACTGAAATTTAGAGGCACATAGGAGACATTGCTGACCACTGTGTTGTGTTTATCGTTCATTATGATGTGACTTTATGGTGCTTTACATTATGAGAAAAAAAACAAGACACTTTCTCCTTCTGATTATTCAGATGCATAATCACCTACTGGTGACTCCCAAGCAGTGGACCATGATACTGGAGGTGGGAGCTCTGAATCTAGGAAAGAAGAGACTGGAGAACAGAATTACCAATAATGTCACCCGACGTACAGCCTTCTATAAGTGCATAGTGTTGGGTAAATGTGTGCATAGAGGCACAGATAGCTGCCTTACACGTATTATTCCAGGGAGAATTCTGCACCAAAAAAATTAAAATTCTGCGAACACTATTTTAAAATTCTGCATTGTTTGGTCAAATATCATGCCAGTTTCAGTTATTTTGGTAATTTCAAAATATCTGTCAGCAAGTATGTCAACACTACAAACAAATATTCAGGAAATGTTTGACAAATAGATTAATACAGAACTTAGAGTAATACTTCATTTAAGCTACAATACAGAAACATTTCCTGCACCCTTCAGGAGCAGTGCAAAGGCTTGGTGAAGTCAGGGATAATGGAGGACTGGAAGGAGGGGAAAGTGATTTTTGGGAAGGAGCTTGGGAGTGAAAGTGGAGGGTTGTTGAATGTGGGTGGGAGAAGTATGGAACTTTTTTTTTTTGAGGGCAAGGAATGGTTCGGGAAGTGCAGAGCTGCCCCCATACAGACCCAGACTGACCTCTAGTTTCTCTCAGGCACATCGGCCCTTGTCCTCGTTTCCCATTCAGCCATGCGTATCTGCACATCCCCATGTGGTCCTGT